GACAGTGACAACACGAGCTTCAGGTGTTGACAGTGACAACACGAGCCTCAGGTGTTGACAGTGATAACACGAGCTTCAGGTGTTGACAGTGACAACACCAGCTTCAGGTCTTCGGAAGTTTTGTATTTCAGTAGAGCGTGGTAATCTATCACTATCTATGGATAGTTTACCTCGGTCAGAGACACTTCTGACTGCGGTAAACTCATGTATAATACGGTAAACTCCGTATTATCTTATGTAGTTTATCAAGTCAGGATATAATGACCTACGAGACCCCTCGTTCAAATTCCGCATTATTTTTATAGAACTCTTATAAATGTTTGTTTTTATTAGTAGTAGTAAACTTGAAAGCAAAACATGGCACTGGGCTGAACTTGGCATCAGAGTAAACTTTGCACACATTTTTAAACCTTTTTTTACCATTGGGTGTGTATTTTGACATTGACCAAAACAGGACATTGTATTATATACTTTACATTTCAGTGTAAACTGGATTTTTATCAATAAACTTAACACACTAGTGCAAAGTTAACATATCAATGTTAACTTAACACTGGTATCAATGTAACAGGAATATAACAATTGCTGTGTAAGTTTAGCAGTAGAGAGTGACTAACATGTAGTGTTGTATGTGTGTGTGTGTGTCTGTGTACAGAGGCTGTGGCAGAGATCGCAGGAGGGTCGGAGCGTTACGTTCAGATCGGCAGTTCCGTTCACCTCACGTGCACTCTCAAGCACTTCACAGAGCCTCCCACCTACGTGTTCTGGTACCACGCCGAGCACATGGTCAACTACGACTCCAACAGCCGGGTAAGTCAGCCTTTTATGGGATTTTCCGGTATCTATTGTCATATGTTGAATTACGGTAGGAATTCTGCCCGAAACGCTTTGCGTAATAGTGGCTTTAGGCATTGTGTGTACTAGCTCTATCTATAAAGCCATCAACAGTTTGTATCTCACCTTGTATGTATGTACGTTATCTGAATAAATATTATGTTTTTGTTTGTTGTTGAATAGTTACGATAACGTTACGATAACGTAATAGAAGTGGGATTCGTTGGATTGTTTCAAGCGAAGATTAGACATATATATGTACAAGTTTGGTTAAGTTAAATTAGGAGCTGCCTTTTACTGGCCAAAAGGCCTTTTGCAGTTTGACTCCCAACCCACACATCTGAAAATTTTCAGATGTGTGGATCGTTACTGTTAGTTATCGTCTGTTTCTGCAATTTCCTTCCTTTTCTTATGTTCTGACTCGATCCAATTTTCCACTAGCTATAATAATCGCTGCTCATTTAAGTCTACCAAATTCTTCACAGTGTCACTAGTTACAAGGAACCATTAAAACCTTGAGTGATCGTAGGTTGTTATCAACCCCATACAACCCGTGATTATCTTACAGTGACGGCAAATTTGTTGTCAAATAGGCGTTATTGATCACTGGTTGCCATAATGGCCGGGATTAATCATAGGGTTCCATGAAGGCCACAGTGGATCACAGAGCACCACAAAAGCTGTGATCGACCACAGAGCACCACAAAAGCTGTGACCACAGAGAACCACAAAAGTTGTGATCGACCACAGAGCACCACAAAAGCCATGATCGACCACAGAGCACCACAAAAGCCATGATCGACCACAGAGCACCACAAAAGCTGCGCTCTACCACAGAGCACCACAAAAGCTGTGATCGACCACAGAGCACCACAAAAGCCATGATCGACCACAGAGCACCACAAAAGCCGTGATCGACCACAGAGCACCACAAAAGCCATGATCGACCACAGAGCACCACAAAAGCCATGATCGACCACAGAGCACCACAAAAGCTGTGATCGACCACAGAGCACCACAAAAGCCATGATCGACCACAGAGCACCACAAAAGCTGTGATCGACCACAGAGCACCACAAAAGCCATGATCGACCACAGAGCACCACAAAAGCCATGATCGACCACAGAGCACCACAAAAGCTGTGATCGACCACAGAGCACCACAAAAGCTGTGATCGACCACAGAGCATCACAAAAGCTGTGATCGACCACAGAGCACCACAAAAGCTGTGATCGACCACAGAGCACCACAAAAGCCATGATCGACCATAGAGCACCACAAAAGCTGTGACTGATCAGAAGTTGGGCAAATTTCATAGGCATAAAAGAGCGACCTGAGGTGACGAGAAAAAGAGCGACCTGAGGTGACGAGAACAAGGCAATACCAGGAGAAGTGGCTGACCTGGGCACAGCCCCGGGTTATCTTGAGATATCTTGAGGTTATCTTGAGATGATTTCGGGGCTTTTTAGTGTCCCCGCGGCCCGGTCCTCGACCAGGCCTCCACCCCCAGGAAGCATCCCGTGACAGCTATTTAACACCCAGGTACCTATTTTACTGCTAGGTAACAGGGGCATAGGGTGAAAGAAACTCTGCCCAATGTTTCTCGCCGGCGCCTGGGATCGAACCCAGGACCACAGGATCACAAATCCAGCTTGCTGTCCGCTCGGCCGACATGCTCCCCGGGTATGGACACAGACCACACAGTTCTTCACCATCTTTAGATTAACGAGGGCAGATAGACAGAGGTAGTTCAGCTATGTCAATTGCCAAGAGAAAGCTCTAAGCCATATTGCAATTGGAAGGGATAAGGGGATAAGAGAGCATCTGGGAAAGGAGATGGAGAAGCGGACCTTCAACCCATTTGCCAGAAAAGATATATTACAATTTCCATGAAGCATAGAGACATAGAGAGCCCCGTCTCAACTGTGGTAACACCACAAGTCGCGGGTGTGAGGACAGACCCATCCTTCCTCCAAACAATAGCAAGCCGGGCCAGAATTCTCGTCCAGGATAGGCGACGACGTCCCCGCAGCCTATCCCCGGCCGCCGTCTGGAGCCACAGAGACAATAGAGCGGGTCAGGTCGTATCTCAGGAGGCGTTCTTAAGGAGGTCGTACCTTCTCTTCCACAATTCCCGACTTCCCTTGCGTTCTTGGTCTCAGTTTCCCTTTGGTTTCCTTTATTGGTATCACATGACTCTACCAGTTCTTCCCTCGCTTCCTTTATGCTGGTGTCGTAAATATTAGTTTTTGTTGAGGCTGGTGGTTCTGTGGGGGTGTATGTGGCGACAGGTGTGGTAGATGTGTGACGACAGGTGTGGTAGATGTGTGACGACAGGTGGGGTAGATGTGTGACGACAGGTGTGGTAGATGTGTGACGACAGGTGTGGTAGATGTGTGACGACAGGTGGGATAGATGTGTGACGACAGGTGTGGTAGATGTGTGACGACAGGTGGGGTAGATGTGTGACAACAGGTGGAGTAGATGTGTGGTGACAGGTGTGGTAGATATGTTGCGACAGGTGGGTACATGTGTGGCGACAGGTGTGGTAGATGTGTGGCGACAGGTGTGGTAGATGTGTGACGACAGGTGTGGTGGGTTCAATTCATTCATCTTCATAACACTAAACAGAAGTGCTTTATAACGTCCCTTGTGCTCATCTGAGTATTAATTCTTATCTGCCTTCCAACGTTCGAGTCTCTCACGTCTAATTGTCTTGTCTATAACCGCAATTTTGCTGAATATTTCGCACGTTTTGATCATGTTCTCTCTTCCAGTGACGTGATGATTTGTTGAAAATCGTAGTCTCGTTATTTAAAACTTCAGCTCCGGGACCAGTCTAGTCATATCTCTCTCATCCCTCTCAGTTCTGGCATATATTTTTCCTTGGCATAAAGACTCATGGAATCGTGTGTGGGTGTGTTGTGTGTGTGTGTGTGTGTGTGTGTGTGTTGTGTGTGTGTTGTGTGTGTGTGTGTGTGTGTGTGTGTGTGTGTGTGTGTGTGTGTGTGTGTGTGTAAACATCTAATTGTACTCACCTAATTGTGCTTGCGGGGGTTGAGCTCTGGCTCTTTGGTCCCGCCTCTCAACCGTCAATCAACTGGTGTACAGATTCCTGAGCCTATTGGGCTCTATCATATCTACATTTGAAACTGTGTATGGAGTCAGCCTCCACCACATCACTGCCTAATGCATTCCATTTACTAACTACCCTGACACTGAAAAAGTTCTTTCTAACGTCTCTGTGGCTCATTTGGGTACTCAGCTTCCACCTGTGTCCCCTTGTTCGCGTCCCACCAGTGTTGAATAGTTCATCCTTGTTTACCCGGTCGATTCCCCTGAGGATTTTGTAGGTTGTGATCATGTCCCCCCTTACTCTTCTGTCTTCCAGTGTCGTGAGGTGCATTTCCCGCAGCCTTTCCTCATAACTCATGCCTCTTAGTTCTGGGACTAGTCTAGTAGCATACCTTTGGACTTTTTCCAGCTTCGTCTTGTGCTTGACAAGGTACGGGCTCCATGCTGGGGCCGCATACTCCAGGATTGGTCTTACATATGTGGTGTACAAGATTCTGAATGATTCCTTACACAGGTTCCTGAACGCCGTTCTGATGTTAGCCAGCCTCGCATATGCCGCAGGCGTTATTCTTTTTATGTGGGGCTTCAGGAGACAGGTTTGGTGTGATATCAACTCCTAGATCTTTCTCTCTGTCTGTTTCATTAAGTACTTCATCTCCTATTCTGTATCCTGTGCCAGGCCTCCTGTTTCCACTTCCTAGTTTCATTACTTTGCATTTACTCGGGTTGAACTTCAACAGCCATTTGTTGGACCATTCACTCAGTCTATCCAGGTCATCTTGTAGCCTCCTAGTATCATCCTCTGTTTCAATCCTCCTCATAATTTTTGCATCGTCGGCAAACATTGAGAGGAACGAATCTATACCCTCTGGGAGATCATTTACATATACCAGAAACAGTATAGGTCCAAGGACTGACCCCTGCGGGACTCCACTTGTGACGTCTCGCCAATCTGAGAACTCACCCCTCACACAGACTCGTTGTCTCCTGTTGCTTAGGTATTCCTCTATCCACCGGAGTACCTTCCCTCTCACTCCAGCCTGCATCTCCAACTTTCGCACTAGCCTCTTGTGGTGGCACTGTATCAAAGGCTTTCTGACAATCCAAAAAATTGCAGTCTGCCCACCCTTCTCTTTCTTGCCTTATTTTTGTTGCCTGGTCGTAGAATTCAAGTAGTACCTGTGAGGCAGGACCTGCCATCCCTGAACCCATGTTGATGCTGTGTTACAAAGTTCCTTCGCTCCAGATGATTCCACTAGTTTTTTTCGCACAATCTTCTCCATCAGCTTGCATGGTATGCAGGTTAGGGGACACTGGCCTGTAGTTCAGTGCCTCCTGTCTATCACCTTTCTTGTATATCGGGACTACGTTAGCTGCTTTCCAAATATCTGGCAGTTTCCCTGTTGCCAGTGATTTGTTATACACTATGGAGAGAAGTGGTAGGCTCAGTTCTCTTGCTCCTTCCTTTAGAAACCCAGGGGAGATTCCATCTGGGGCTATAGCCTTTGTCACGTCCAACTCTAGTAAACACTTTCCTTACTTGCCCACTGGTAATCTCAAAACTCTTCCAGTGGTTCCTGGTTAGCTATTCCCTCACTTACCTCTGGAATTTCTCCTTGTTCTAAGGTGAAGACCTCCTGGAATTTCTTATTCAATTCCTCAACCACTTCCTTGTCATTTGTAGGGAATCCTTCCGCCCCTATCCTTAATCTCATAACCTGCTCCTTTACTGTTGTTTTTCTCCTAATGTGGCTATGCAACAATTTAGGCTGAGTCTTTGCCTTGCTTGCGATGTCATTTTCGTATTGTCTTTATGCCTCTCTTCTCATCCTGACATATTCATTCCTGGCATTCTGGTATCTTTCTCTCTGCTCCCAGTGTCCTGTTATTCCTATAGTTTCTCCATGCCCTTTTACTTTGCTGCTTAGCTAGCCTACATCTTTGATTAAACCATGGGTTTCTCATCTTCATTTCTCTGTTTTCCTTTTGGACTGGGACAAACTTGTTCGCTGCGTCCTTGCACTTCTGCGTGATGTAATTATTCATCATATCTGGGGCCGTCTTTCCCCTGAGCTCTGTTTCCCATGCTATATTTTTTAGGAATTTTCTTATCCCCTCATAGTTTCCCTTTCGGTATGCTAACCTTTTGGTTTCGGTATCCCTCCTCGAGTTCAATAACCCATCTTCAATCAAGTACTCAAACACCAGTACACTGTGGTCGCTCATTCTACTGGGTCCTCAAAACCGATTTCTCTTATGTCGGAGTCGTTCAGAGTGAAGACTAGGTCGAGTCTCGCTGGTTCGTCATTGCCTCTCTTCCTTGTGGGTTCTCCGACATGCTGGGTTAAAAAGTTGCTTGTCACCACCTCCAATAGTTTGGCTCTTCACGTATCCTCGCCTCCATGCGGTTCCTTGTTCTCCCAGTCAATCTTTCCGTGATTGAGGTCGCCCATGATGAGCAGGTGGGATCTATTTCTACAGGCAGCAGAGGCTGCCCTCTCAAATTATAGTGTTAACTGCCTTGTTGTTGTTTTCATACTCTTGACTGGGTCTCCTGTCATTTGGTGGAGGTTTGTATATTTACTGCTACTTACTATTCTTGGTCCTCCCATTGTTATGGTGCCTGCTATGTAGTCTCTGAACTCCTCACAGCCCGGGATGGCCATCTCCCTTAAAACTCCATTCCCCTTCTCATGAGTAGGGCCACTCCGCCTCCTCCTCTACCTTCCCTCTCTTTCCTTATTACTGTATACTCCTGGGGAAACACGGCATTCATTATGATTCCAGAGAGTTTTGTTTCAGTGAGTCCGATTACATCTGGGTTAACTTCTTGTGCTCTTTCCCTTAGTTCACTTGTCTTGCTTGTGATCCCATCTATGTTCGAGTACATCACCCTGAAACTGACTCTCTTCTGCTTCTTTTCTGGGGGGGACCTTTGGGATCTGGGGTGAGTGGGAGCTGGGGGGACCTGGCACGGGGGGATTGGTGGAGGAGGGAGGGCTTGGGGTGGTGGGGGAGAGAGGGGGAGGGTACAGGGGGTGGATAAGAGGGGGAGGGTCTACGGGGGTGGATAAGAGGGGGAGGTTACAGGGGGTGTGTAAGAGAGGGAGGGTTGGGGACAAGCATGGGGGGAGGAGAGGCTGTGGGGGATAGGGGAGATGAGGGGGCTTGGGGGGAGAGAGAAAAGGGTGGAGAGCTTGGGGGAAAAGGGAGGGCTGAGTTGGGTGAGGAAGAGGGGAGGGTTTAGGGGAGTGGGGGAGAGGGGAAGACTTAGGTGGGGTGGGGGAGAGTGAGGAGAGGAGGGAGCTGGGGGGGCAGGGGGGAGGGGGGGGGGAAGGGGAGGGAAGGGGGGGGGAGGGCATGGGGGTGGGATAGACGGGAAGGCATGTGGGAGAAGGGAGGGCATGGGGGATGGGGGGAAGGGAGGTCCTGGGGAGAGGGGTGAGGGGGAGAAGGGGGGTGAGTGGGGGGAGGGGGGTGGGTGGGGGGAGGGTGCCCTTGGTGGGTACTTAGTGGGGGGCTGACAGGGGATGGGGCAGGTTGGGTGTCTGTTCACACACACACACACACACACATACACATGTGTGTGTGTGTGTGTTTACTACTTGTGTTTACTAGTTGTGTTTTTGCGGGGGTTGAGCTTTGCTCTTTCGGCCCGCCTCTCAACTGTCAATCAACTGTTTTACTAACTACCTTTTTTTTTTTTTTTTTTTTTTTTTTTTTTTTTTTTTTTTTTTTTTTTTTTCCACACCACACACACATACACACACACCCTAGGAAGCAGCCCGTGACAGCTGACTAACTCCCAGGTACCTATTTACTGCTAGGTAACAGGGGCACTTAGGGTGAAAGAAACTTTGCCCATTTGTTTCTGCCTCGTGCGGGAATCGAACCCGCGCCACAGAATTACGAGTCCTGCGCGCTATCCACCAGGGCTACGAGGCCCTATGTGTGTGTATGTGTGTATGTGTGTATGTGTGTGTGTGTGTGTGTGTGTGTGTGTGTGTGTGTGTGTGTGTGTGTGTGTGTGTGTGTGTGTGTGTGTGTGTGTGTGTGTGTGTTTGTACTTACATTACTACGACTCATTTGTGTTTCCAGCTTTCACTTATGTCCCTCTCGATCCACTTTCAAGCGGCTGTCCTTGTCCACCTTGCCAAATCCCCCCTCAGTATGTTGTATGTTGCGATCATGTCTCTTTCTTCTCACCTTCAAGGCTGTGAGGTCCAGGTCCCTTAACCTATCAGGTATGTGGTTGGGGACTATTCAGGCGTGTTTGGAAGAGGGGGGGGGGGGGGGGGAAGAGGGGGTTAATTATCCTGACTCATGTTTCTATCATCCTGTTTTTGTGACTCTTTGTTTTTCTTAATTGGATCCCCTTTATTTTTATTCTGTCATTCTCATTCCCGTCCATCCGTCTGTCTTTTATTTGTGTTTTTCTCACACTCTTCCCGTCTTATCCGTCGTGTATTCCCGTCTCTGTCTCAAACCTCTCTGTCCCTCAAATCCTTTTTGTCTCATATTTAGCCTCTATATGTCAAACAGTTCTTTTCCCTATCCATTTCTCTCCCCTACCCTATCTCTCTCCCACTCGCACTCCCTCTACCTAACACCCTCCCTTCCTCCCTCTACCTAGCACCCTCCCTCTACCTAGCACCCTCCCTCTACCTAGCACCCTCCCTCTACCTAGCACCCTCCCTCTCTCCTTCTCTCCCCCCCTTCCCTCCCTCCTCGTCCGTAACTCTAGCGCCTCGTCCCTCCGGCAGATAACAGTGGCCAACGGAGTGGGCGAGAGTGAGCTGAGGATTTCTCAGGTGACGAAGGCCGACAGCGGCAACTACACCTGCCAGCCGGCCAATGCTCGTCCAGCCTCCGTCTCCCTTCACATAATTACAGGTAAGATCTGCGAGGCTCTCATAATTCAGGGGGGGGGGGGTCTCTTACCTGTTCTCTCACAGGTAAGTTCACTCTTCTTGGTCACGATTGGCGTCTCTTACAGCCACTCTTGACACCTGACATCTCTTACTGACACCCTGAAACGGTTGCTGACATCCGGAAACTCTTCCTGACACCCCGGAAACTCTTCCTGACATCCGGAAACTCTTCCTGACATCCGGAAACTCTTCTTGACACCCGGAAACTCTTCCTGACATCCGGAAACTCCTCCTGACACTAGGAAACTCTTCCTGACACCAGGAAACTCCTCCTGACACCCGGAAACTCTTCATGACACCCGGAAACTCTTCCTAACACCCGGAAACTTCTCCTGACACCCGGAAACTCTTCCTGACACCCGGAAACTCTTCCTGACACCAAGAAACTCCTCCTGACACCCGGAAACTCTTCCTTGCACCAAGAAACTCTTCGTACACCAGGAAACTCCTCCTGCCACTAGGAAACTCTTCCTGACACCCGGAAACTCTTTTCCTGACACCCGGAAACTCTTCCTGACACCCGGAAACTCTTTTCCTGACACCCGGAAACTCTTCCTGACACCCGGAAACTCTTTTCCTGACACCCGGAAACTCTTCCTTGCACCAAGAAACTCTTCGTACACCAGGAAACTCCTCCTGCCACTAGGAAACTCTTCCTGACACCCGGAAACTCTTTTCCTGACACCCGGAAACTCTTCCTGACACCCGGAAACTCTTCCTGACACCCAGAAACTCTTCCTGACACCCAGAAACTCTTCCTGACACCCAGAAACTCTTCCTGACACCCGGAAACTCTTCCTGACACCCGGAAACTCTTCCTGACACCCAGAAACTCTTCCTGACACCCAGAAACTCTTCCTGACACCCAGAAACTCTTCCTGACACCCGGAAACTCTTCCTGACACCCAGAAACTCTTCCTGACACCCAGAAACTCTTCCTGACACCCGGAAACACTTCCTGACACCCAGCAACACTCCCTGACACCCAGAAACTCTTCCTGACACCCAGAAACTCTTCCTGACACCCAGCAACTCTTCCTGACACCCAGCAACTCTTCCTGACACCCAGAAACTCTTCCTGACACCCAGAAACTCTTCCTGACACCCGGAAACTCTTCCTGACACCCAGAAACTCTTCCTGACACCTAAGTGACCTGTTTCCTTTCCCTTCGAGAACATTCGATTTTTCATAGATTGTTTAACAAAAAATCAATGTTATATGACAGTTAATCCTTAGTTTTTTTTGTTCCCCAGTAAGAACACCAGTGGGATAACTCGCGTGTTCTTGATAATAAAGGAAATACTAGTCATTGAGTACTGGAAGGAACAAACTATTCAATAAGGTTGTTTGACTGTTGCTAACGTTAATCCATATTGCATTAACGTTACTTCATCGTCATATGTACACACTTTATTGAGACAGTCTGCGCGCGCGCACACACACACGCGCCACACACACACACACACACACACACACACACACACACACACACACACACACACACAGAGTTGCGTTCTTTTAATCTATCTTTTTAATTTTCTAATACAGAATATTTTTGCTATTCCCAGGAGAGACTCCGGCAGCCATGCAGCGAGCTAGTGCCACGGAAGTACAGTACCGCGTCAGTATAGCACTCATGTCCTCCCTCCTAGCACTGGTAGCTTTGTAGGCTCCGCCAGCAACTGCAGCCCACAGTGGTCACCGTGACATTCCTTCCTGTTGCCGCCGCCTCCCATGGCTGGACGTGGTGTGAAGACCTGGCCAGCGGTCTGCGGCCAGGACCAGCGGCCTAGGGTGAGGACCAGCGGCCTGCGGTCAGGACCAGTGGCCTGCGGTCAGGACCAGCGGCCTGCGGTCAGGACCAGCGGCCTGCGGTCAGGACCAGCGGCCTGCGGTCAGGACCAGCGGCCTGCGGTGAGAACCAGCGGCCTAGGGTGAGGACCTGGCGAATAACGGGAGGTGATGGGGCGATGAGAATCCTGACTGCGTCCTTATTTCTTATATAAAGGATAAAGCTGCATTATCTTCTGTGATAGTGCCATAGTTGATATCAGGAAGAACTGTTGCAACAGCCGCAGCGAGGAGAAGCACGGCACGTCTTGATCACCAAGCTCGGGGGTTCAGAAGGTAGGGAAAATCATGTCGAACCGTGAATTAATATAACATGTGACCAGTGGCGAACATACTGTCAACTCATGGGTCCATGAGACGGATACGGTCATAGTCTAACAGTGTCGTGTCAGATATTATGGGTTGACACCCTCTATAAGGGTTCCGATGCGTCGTGGATTTGGGCTCCAAAGTAACGTTGATATGTGTACCGCAACGATGTTGAACACGGCGCTTGAATAGTGTGGGAAAAAGAGACTGATTCGTCACTAAAACACTGTGAAACCGTAAGGGATAGTTTGTGATCACTACAGTCTTAAGTGTTCTCGAGAAACAACATCCTGGTCTCATCCGGCCATGTGCGCACAGACAGCTTCGTCCCAGATTGTTCTTGGGCTGAAGATATTACGTAAGTCACGTTCCGAATGTATATTAAGGCATTCTGTTATACGGATATTTTCATATTTGTATATATTTTGAAGTGTGAGTACCTGAGAAGAGCAAGAGAGACATTGTTGACACCGTGGTCTGCTTCACCGACATTTAGTGTATAAAGTGTGTTTAGTTCCTCTCCGACGTTCATGTTAACGTAGGTGGCCGTTGTTGGTGTCCGGCTCTGTCTCATGCCTTGTGTGCCAGTACTTGTGTAAACCTTATTGAAAAGTTCCACACTGCCACTTGGTGTAAGTGTGATACACTTCCACTAGGTGTAAGTGTCCCACACTACCACTAAGTGTAAGTGTTCCACACTACCACTAAGTGTAAGTGCAGGTTGGCCGTGGAATCCAGTCCACATTAAAGTGACAAAACCATTAGTTATCTGCCAATATTTGGCGGGACATTTGGGCTCTTAATACTTCTCTGGTCAATGTAAAAGTTCTGGAGTCAGGGAACCTTACCAACACCTCGAACACTTCACCAGTAAGTGTCGTGGGTTTGTGGCAACGTTCTCAGGCGTCCAGACACGTGCTGTAGACGTCGCCAGGCACGTGCTGTAGACGTCGCCAGGCACGTGCTGTAGACGTCGCCAGGCACGTGCTGTAGACGTCGCCAGGCACGTGCTGTAGACGACGTCTATCGACGTCAGCTCGCCGTCGTCAGGCAGATCAAGCCTTCCAAGCCAGAACTTATTTATACGTCTGATGAATAACCTCACTGATGAGGCCACTAACGTACCAATAATAGACGTAATAACACAAGACGTACCAACACTAAACTTAAAAACACTAGACGTACCAACACAAGACGTACCAACACTAGACGTACCAACACTAGACGTACCAACATTAGACGTACGTACACTAGACGTACCAACACTAGACGTACCAACATTAGACGTACCTACACCAGACGTACAAACGCTAGACGTACAAACACTAGACGTAATAATAGGAGCAACAAGATTTGACGTACGAATAACAGACGTAACAACAATAGACGAACCAACAAGACGTAACAACAATAGACGTAACAATGCTAGTCGGAGTCAAATGGTTTCTCTTAACAGGCCCCGAACCATTTAACCATAAATATACAGACACATTTAGAAGCTGAAAGACCAGAATGTGGGGTAGAATTTATTTGTAAATGTTGTGCTTCGCTTGCCAGATTTTCTCATTCAACATTTTACAAAATGTCAATTAAGGATGTAGGCAAAAAAAATGAAATCCCTTTGTTAAATAAGTGAAAACATGAGGTTGTCACAGCCAGTGTGAAGGCGGGTTGTATGAAGCGAGAGAATCATTACTCACTCCGTCTGGAACACAAAGAGAGTCAGGATGTGTACACTCCAATTATTTTGGATACTTAAGGAAAGGCGCCTCTCCCTTTGTTATATTTGAGACCAGCAAAAATATACTTGCCCACTGATACAAATTATATTAGTGACTACGATATATTTGCAAATCTGCATTTATTTTTTAAAGTTTAAATATTAAATGTGTTCATCTTGTGTAATGGTGAGAGGATAGAGTTTTTGTCATATATATAATGCAATTGCAATCATTGGAGCAGCATACAGATTGGTGATGTAAGCTGTGTATTACCACAACTCTAAAAGATCTTGTTAAAGATCAGTCTTGGCTAGATTTTGGCCTTAAGGCTTTTTAACCTCTGGGGGGATATTAAAGCCACTACAATACTTGACTGACTTGACCAGTAAGTATACTATAGTTCTGAACATAGTCCAGAAGTAAATTCTCACAGTGTGCAGAAGCGAGGCACACCTATTGGTGACCTCTTGTGATGCCTCCCTGACTCTACCCTCTGACGCCACTACTCCAGAATGACATGGTGGACTTCTTGCAATATTTGGGTTACACAATACACCTGCCCATAACGCTTCTCATCTTTATTCCCATGATTGTGTCTCATACTTCCCTGTCCGTCTGCTAGTCTGCTTTTCTCATACCTCCATATATTTTCGAATAATTTTTAATTAATTCTGATACTCGCTCTCTCTCTCCTCTCTCTCTCTCTCTCTCTCTCTCTCTCTCTCTCTCTCTCTCTCTCTCTCTCTCTCTCTCTCTCTCTCTCTCTCTCTCTCTCTCTCTCTCTCTCTCTCTCTCTCTCTCTCTCTCTCTCTCTCTCTCTCTCTCTCTCTCTCACACCTCCAGGATGGTAAGTAGGCTAACCTCAAGAGCAACGGAAGCTCAGAATTACGCCAGCAACATGCGTGTGATTGGATCAATTCAACTGTTGACAAGCACACACACACACACAGACACACACACAAAGGCTGTTGAACCGGACACCCTCTCACCGTGGATACTAAAAGAGGGTGCAGAAACACTAAGTGTGCCACTCTCTATAGTGTATAATAGGTCACTGGAAACAGGAGACCTACCGGAAATCTTGAAGACAGCTAATGTAGTCCAAATATACAAAAAATGGTGACAGGCAAGAGGCACTAAACTACAGCGTAGTTTCCCTAACTTGTATACTATGCAAGGTGATGAAGATCGCGAGGAAAAGGTTCTTGGAACATATGGAGAGAAAAACCTTTGTAACACACCACCAGCATGGGCTCAGAGATGGTAAATCGTGCCTCACAGGCTAAATGGAATTCTATGACCGAACAACACACGTTAGGCAAAAAAGAGAAGGGTGGGTAGACTCCATTTTCGTAGACTGTCAGAAAGCCTTTGACACAGTACCCCATAAGAGGCTATAACAAAAGTTGGAGCAACAGGCAGGAGTAGAAGGGAAGGTGCTCCAGTGGATAAGGGAATATCTAAGCAACAGGAAACAGCGAGTAACTGTGAGGGAGGAGACATCATAGAGGTGAGATGTCACCAGCGGTGTCCCACAGAGCTCTGTACTTGGACCCATCATGTTTTTAATATATGTAAATGATATTCCAGAGGGTATAGGCTCATTCCTCTCAATGTTTGCTGATGAAGCAAAAATTATGAGAAGACATATGAAAATAGACAGAGACTACAGGACAACCTGGACAAACTGATCTTGAAAATGATCTAGAAAATGGCTCCTAATATTTAACTCAGGAAAGTGTAAAGTAATGAAATTAGGTGAAGGGAGCAGGAGGCTGAACACAAGGTACCATCTGGGAGGTGAAATCCTGTAAGAGTCAAATAGAGAGAAAGATCTGGGGGGCATGATATCACACCGAACCTGTGCCCAGAAGCCCACATCAAAAGGATATCATCAGCGACATATGTTAGATTGGCCAACATAAGAACTGCCTTTAGAAAGTTGTGTACGGAATCATTCAGAACTTTGTATAACACTTATGTGAGACCATTCTTGGAGTATGCAGCTCCAGTCTTCAGTCCATACCTAGTTAAATACAAAAGTTAGAGAAGTTTCAGAGATATGCCACCAGACTAGTCCCAGAATTGAGAGATGTGAGTTACAAGGAAAGGCTACGGATGCTAAACTTCTTGTCACTGGAAGACAGAAGAGTAAGGGGAGACATGATTACCACCTACAAAATTCTCAGAGGAATTGACAGCGTTGGATAAAGCCAAACTTTTTATCACGGGCGGAACACAAACAAGGGGATACAGGTGGAAACTGAGTACCAAAATGAGCCACAGGGAAACTAGAAAGAATTTTTTGTAGTGTCAGAGTAGTTAACAAATGGAATGCATTAGGCAGTGATGTGGTGGAGGCTGACTCCATTCACAGTTTCAAATGTAGATATGATAGAGCCCAGTAGGTTCAGGAACCCGTTGATTGACAGTTGAGAGGCGGAACCAAAGAGCCAGAGCTCAACCCCAGCAAGCACAACTAGGTGAGTACGTAAACTATAGAGTGCCAACGTTCAGTGTAGGGTGTCCACGTACAGTGTAGAGTGTCCACGTACAGTGTAGGGTGTCCACGTACAGTGTAGGGTGTACACGTACAGTGTAGGGTGCACACGTACAGTGTAGGGTGTCCACGTACAGTGTAGAGTGTCCACGTACAGTGTAGGGTGTCCACGTACAGTGTAGGGTGTACACGTACAGTGTAGGGTGCACACGTACAGTGTAGGGTGTTCACTTACAGTGTAGGGCGCTCACGTTCAGTGTAGGGTGTTCACGTACAGTGTAGGGTGTTCACGTACAGTGTAGGGTGCCCACGTACAGTGTAGGGTGCCCACGTACAGTGTAGGGTGCCCACATTCAGTGTAGGGTGTCCACGTACAGTGTAGGGTGTCCACGTACAGTGTAGGGTGTCCACGTACAGTGTAGAGTGTCCACGTACAGTGTAGGGTATCCACGTACAGTGTAGAGTGTCCACGTTCAGTGTAGGGTGCCCACGTACAGTGTAGGGTGTACACGTACAGTGTAGGGTGTTCACGTACAGTGTAGGGTGTTCACGTACAGTGTAGGGTGTCCACTTACAGTGTAGGGTGTTCGCGTACAGTGTAGGGTGTTCACGTACAGTGTAGGGTGTCCATGTACAGTGTAGGGTGCCCACATACAGTGTAAGGTGTTCACGTACAGTGTAGTGTGTCCACGTACAGTATAGAGTGCCCACGTAGAGTGTAGGGTGTTCACGTACACTGAACATTAGAGCAACTTTAATAAACTGGATACATCTGGGAAATAAAAGATGTGTGAGCTCTTTTGAGGGGCGCTCATGAGGAGCTCTTTGGAGGGACAGTCACTAAGAGCTCTCTGGAGGGACAATCACTGGTAGCTCTCTGGAGGTAGGCCTGGAACTTCCTTGTGGCTACTGGCTCTCTTAGCTTGGAGGGGGTAGTTTTGGTCCCATATAATATACATTTGTTTAATAAAAAATAATATAAAGTATTAAACTTTATACATTTGTTTATATAAAAAATAATATAATATATATATATATATATATATACGAGGCATACGAGGACACCATCACACACTGAGATATTAGTTATATCTCCACGTCGTAGAGAGAAGGGAGAAGCTTATTAAAGACGTTAGTGCTGTTGTACATAGTGAGAACTGAGTGACCCTTGACCTTCCTCAGACTGGGTCTCTTTATTTTTTCTTTCCATGGCTCAGAGTCGACTTTTTCTCTCTCGTTGTCTCTCACGTCTCTTGAGAAACTTTGTTGCCATTCCTGAAGATCTTGAGAAGGTTCACTACTTCTCGCTCGCTCGATGTTATATTGCCAATAGTTTCTCTTCCTCTGTATGTGCTAAAGTATTTGTAACTAATTTTGTACAACTTACGTGTAAAAATGGGATCAGATCAACGATGGGTTCATCAAGACAAACACATATTCCGGAACACTTCAAATAAAATCAGCAAAAGTTAAATAAATTCAAATAATAAGTTATGGAACTTTCGTATTTGTAAACCACTGTCTCCTGCTGCATCACTACACCTCCACTGTGGAACACCTCCATTGTGGAACACCTGCTCCACTGTGGAACACCTCCACTGTGGAACACCTGCTCCACTGTGGAACACCTGCTCCACTGTGGAACACCTCCACTGAGGAACACCTCCACTGTGGAACACCTTCTCCTCTGTGGAACACCTCCACTGTGGAACTCCTCCACTGTGGAACACCTCCACTGTGGAACACCTCCACTGTGGAACACCTGCTCCACTGTGGAACACCTCCACTGAGGAACACCTCCACTGTAGAACACCTCCACTGTGGAACACCTCCACTGTGGAACACCTCCACTGTGGAACACCTCCACTGTGGAACAGCTCCACTGTGGAACACCTCCACTGTGGAACAGCTCCACTGTGGAACACCTCCACTGTGGAACACCTTCTTCTCTGTGGAACACCTCCACCTTCTCCACTGTGGAACACCTCCCTCCACTGTGGAACTCCTCCACTGTGAACACCTCCACTGTGGAACACCTCCACTGTGGAACACCTCCACTGTGGAACAGCTCCACTGTGGAACACCTCCACTGTGGAACAGCTCCACTGTGGAACACCTCCACTGTGGAACACCTCCACTGTGGAACGAAGACGTCGAGTCTGCCTGATAAGAATTTGGTTGTTCGTTGGGTGGTGGCTAAGCTGCTCATGCAGGGCTCTGGTGGTGGTGGCTAAGCTGCTCATGCACTGCTCTGTAGGTGGTGGCTAAGCTGCTCATGCAGGCTCTGTGGGTGGTGGCTAAGCTGCTCATGCACTGCTCTGTGGGTGGTGGCTAAACTGCTCATGCACTGCTCTGTGGGTGGTGGCTAAGCTGCTCATGCACTGCTCTGTGGGTGGTGGCTAAGCTGCTCATGCACTGCTCTGTGAGTGGTGGCTAAGCTGCTCATGCAGGGCTCTGTGGGTGGTGGCTAAGCTGCTCATGCACTGCTCTGTGGGTGGTGGCTAAACTGCTCATGCACTGCTCTGTGGGTGGTGGCTAAGCTGCTCATGCACTGCTCTGTGAGTGGTGGCTAGCTGCTCATGCAGGGCTCTGTGGGTGGTGGCTAAGCTGCTCATGCACTGCTCTGTGGGTGGTTGGCTAAACTGCTCATGCACTGCTCTGTGGGTGGTGGCTAAGCTGCTCATGCACTGCTCTGTGGGTGGTGGCTAAACTGCTCATGCACTGCTCTGTGGGTGGTGGCTAAGCTGCTCATGCACTGCTCTGTGGGTGGTGGCTAAACTGCTCATGCACTGCTCTGTGGGTGGTGGCTAAGCTGCTCATGCACCGCTTTTCAACCCTGATCATCAAGCTATCAGAGCTGCTCGCGCCGCTAAAGACCTGCTTAATTTGTGAACTACTCGAAAAGTCATTAAGTTAAAAACCTTACTACTCTGGCGGGGCAAGAAAGACGCAATCAGCACCCACACATATATCCTTCTTTACCGGAACCCAGGCTTTGGTTTAGTGATGGCAGGTTTGTGTTGAACGTCCAGGAGAATATTTTGACACATATGGAGGTCTTCTTTTAGGTTGGTTCAAATTTAAAATTTATATTCATTTTTGCTCTTTGTTATTGAAGTACACACACACACACACACAACCACACACACACACACACACACCCAACACACACACACACACACACACAACACACACACACACACACACACACACACACACACACACAACACAC